ATTCATAGAAATTCAATTAAATTCAAATAATTTAAAATAAATACAGGGTGAAGAAAGGAGGAAGGGCTCGAGGCAGGGCACTTGGGGGGCAGAGAGAGGCTCGTGGCACCACCAGCACAGAGCCCTTCTCCTCACACAGCCACGGAGGCCGAGTTCCAGGCACCAGCGCTTCCACAGAACCCTAAATTGGCACAAGGAGATGTTGGACTGGGTGTTGGGAGGGGATTTTTCCTGGGCAGGCCCTGGCACAGGGTGCCCAGAGCAGCTGGGGCTGCCCCTGGATCCCTGGCAGCGCCCAAGGCCAGGCTGGATGGGGTTTGGAGCAGCCTGGGATGGTGGAAGGTGTCCCTGCCATGGGGTTTAAGGTCCCTTCCAACCCAAGCCATTCCAGAATTCCAGGCTCTAGGAAGGGTTGAGCAGCTCCTCCAAGACATTCATTTCTGCCTCCCATCCATCCAAAATCTGCATCATCCCAGCTCCTGCCACACTCAAGGACTGGATAAAAGTCATGGGGGCCGAAATCTGAGCTCGTCATTCCCAGAAACTGCCCGGTCAGGGCTCAGCGAGGATTTGGGAATCTGTGGGGAAAAGAAGGAAAAGCAGGGAATATCCTTTCAGCAGCTGAAGGAGGACCCGGAGCTTTGGGGCCACCTCTCCCATCTCTGGGAAAGTCCAGACAGCCCAGCCCCAGATGTGGTGTCAGCATCAAAACGCTGGGAAAAACCTCGGGCAGCAGCAAAGTCTGGGAGAGCCCGGGGGGCGGTGGGAGAGCCCGGGGGCGGTGGGAGCATGAGGCAGCCCAGGGCTGCAGGGCTGGCCCAGGAGAGCATCACTGGGCTGTGGGGAGATGTCCTGGGGCTGGGGGCGGCTCCTCTGTCTCAAAGGCTGCGCTCAGCTAAGCCCAGCTCTGGGAATAAGCCTGGCTCACAGCTAAACTCAGCTGAACCCTCTCCCTCCTTCGGAGCTCCTGTTAGAGGCCACTGTGGAGAGCTTCTCCTGCATCGTCCCCTCCCCAGTGAAGCGCTGGAGATTTTTAAACTGGGCCAAAAAAAAAATCCTTTAGAAAGACAGGGTCAAAAAAAACCCCAAACAACAACAAAAATAAGATTTGTTGGTGTGGTGGGTGGGGTTTTTGTTGCTTGTTTTTTTTTTTAATAACGAAGAGTTTAAAAATAAGAAGGAATGATGGAAATAGTGGGGCTGCCTGATAAACTGGAATGGAAGGAGCTGCTCCTGGGAGCTCATTTGGGAGAAGTTCAGGACAGCTCTTTTTCCATCGATCCCATTGTGCTGTGCCTGTGGCTGAGACACCACGGCGAGGGGAGAGGGGATGAAGAGGGCGGTGAGGAGGGAGAGGCCGGCTGTAGGGATATTTGGTTCCTTCCAGGTGCCCAAAATTCGGTGGAGAAAGGTGTGGCCAAGGGGGAATGAGAGAGGACGAGGGGAATGGCTTTAAGCTGCCAGAGGGCAGAGTTGAGCGGGATATTGGGGAGGAATTGTTCCCTGGGAGGGTGGGGCTGGGATGGAATTCCCAGAGCAGCTGGGGCTGCCCCTGGCAGTGTCCAAGGCCAGGCTGGACGGGGTTTGGAGCAGGCTGGGACAGTGGAAGGTGTCCCTCATGGCAGGGATGAGCTTTAAGGTCCTTTCCCACCCAACCCATTCCTTGGTTCTGTGGCTGAGGCTGCAGCCCGGTGAGGCCCTGGCACCACGGGGGAACCAGCCCAGCACCCATCAGGTGATCCTGGCCCACAAAACCCATCGGGTGTCTGCCAGCAGCCGGGAGACCCCACGGGGGACACACCAAGGTGAGACTTGGGACACCGGGAGCAAACCCCCAGCGCCCCCAGGACAGACATTGTCCCCTCCCTCCACCAGAAATCCAGCTGGCCCCAGCCCTGTGCCACCCCGGGGATGAGCTGCACCCCTGGGCTCACCTCCTCCCCACACCCTCCCCTCTCTCCTGCTCCCCCGGGGAGTTCACGCCTGCTCAGAGACCAAACCCACAGCAGGACAGCGAGCATCGCTCCCTCTGGACGGGCTCTGGGGGTCGGGGACACCTCCCCGTGCCCCTCCCAGCACCCAACACCTCTGGGAAAGGGGATTTTGTGCTCCCCAGAGCCCGGGGCAGCGGAGGTGAAGGCATCGGTGAAAGCTCAGAGAGGCTCCGAGGTTTTAGTGCAACATTCACTGCTCCTGGGCACAGCAGGGAGAGCTGGGAGGGGACAGGGACAGCACAGCCCATCTGCTGGGGGAAAGGGAAAGGGGGGATGAGGAGGTGAGCCCTAACTCAGGGACCCCAAATTGTGCTGCTGGAGCAGGGAGCAATTAACCCAGGTTAACCCAATTAACCCAAAGGAGGGCTCAGCCTGCCCATCCCAGCCTCATCCCAGCTCCACACGCTGCCTCCCAGAGAGGGATGTGATCCCAAAAACACCAGCAGGAGACTCCTCCAGATCCCTTTTGGGGGCTGGATCCACCCCTCCCTGCTCCTGCCCACCCTGGAATTTTCACTCATGTGGGGATTTTAAAACCCCCACAATTAAAATCCCATCTCATCCCAGCTGCAATTAAGTTTCTGATCTTCATTTACTTATGCTAAAGCGCTCCCAACACCAGCAAGGAGGAGCTGGGGGGAGCAGCCAGACAAACCAGGGCCGGTTAAATTTGCAAAGCCTCGTGACGGCTCCAAATTAAAGCGAACTGAGACTACAATTGAATTATCCGGGATGATAATGCCCCATGAGAGCCTGGGAATGGGATCTGCTCTCATCTGAGGGGCTGGAGAGCCCATCCGGGCTGGGGGGACAGGGAAATGCCAGCACGTGGAATTCAGGTGGCAACAGCAGCTCCCAAAGAGATTTTTTGGGGGGGAAACCCTGGGATTTGGCTGATGGGAGATGAGTTTGTGTCCTGGGCATGGCTGAGGTGTCCCCGTGTGGGGCTGGGAGATGCTCTGTACAACCAGAGCCTGTCTGCATTCCCAGCTGCAGGAATGAGCCGTAGGAGAGAGGCTGGATCCCAATTCCAGCTGCCCCGCGGTGCCCAGCCCCAGAGCATCCCCAAAGCCGGGGTTTTGGGAGCGAGGAGCGAAGCCAGGAGCAGGGCAGGGCTGGCTGATGAGAAACACACCGGGAAAAGCGGAGAAATGATGGGGAATGTGGAGATGGGCCCCGCTGGGAGGGAGACCCGCGGGGGGACACGTAAGTGGCCGCGGCTGGCAGGGAGAGAAGCCACTTGTGAAAGGTCAGCGCTGCCCACGAAGGGGCTGCGGGGGCTCGGGGGGAGCGGGACAGATGCATTTCCCCACGGGGGAGCAGCTAATGGCAGTGGCGCTCCCTGGCCCCGCAGGATCCGGGGATAAACTCATGAATCAGCGACATTCCCCCTTTTTTCATGACAAAACTGCAAAGAAATAAATAAAGGGAATTAAATAAACCCACAGAGAACCGAGAACAAGCCCTCCCCAGCCGAGCATCATCGTGAGCGCTGGGTCGGGATCAGAGGAGCCCTGGGGATAAATCGAAGTCATCGTCCAGTGGGTCAGCCCTGCTCGGGGAGGGGACTGTCCCCAGAGCCACCGCCTGTGCACCGAGCGCCGCCCGCTGCTGTCCCGGTCCCGGCGCGGCCGGGCGCTCCCGGGGCTGCTCCGGCTCGTCCCGCCCGCTCCGAGAGGATTCCCGGGATGATCAAACGCTGCGGGGGAAGAGTCTCATTGCCGGGCCTCTGTCGGCCCCGCTGCTCCTCCGTAGCGCAGGCTGGGAAGCGGAGAGGAAGAGGAGACCCGCTGGGGGAGGAAGGCACCGTCCCTTAACTCCTCCCGTCACAGCCTGGAAGGGACACAAGGAGCAGAGTCAGCACCGGGCGCCTCCTCCCGCGGGGGTTTGCAGGGAAGATCTTGGGGAAAAAACTCCTGGAACAGCTTTGCCACGGAGCTGCTGGCACAAGGGATGGCAGCGGGGGAAGCCGTGAGCTCCCGGGCCAGGCCTTGGGTACCGCTGCCATCCCTGAGCATCCAGGATCCCGAGGGATCCAGGGGTACCGCAGGCAGCTCATCCCTGCCAGGATTCCTGGACTCCCCGGGGAAGCCAGGACCTAACAGGAGCAAGAGCCAGAGCCGATGTGGAAGGAATCGGCTCCCGTGGAGAGCTGAGCTGGAACATCCTGATTAACCAAAGGCTGGGCCGGTAATTAACAGGGAGCTGCGGGGCAGCCCCAGCCCAGGGCAGGCAGAGCGTGGCTCAGCGATCGGGAAAACATTCCCAAACCCAGCGGAGCGATCCCGGAGCTGCCTCGGGGCTCAGCGTCCCTCAGCATTCCTTGCCCGGCTGCCGGAGCTGGCCTGGTGCCTGCTTGGAGCGGGGTTTGGGGATTATCTCCCCTCCTGATGAGCGGCTCCCGCTCCGGGTGATTTGGGGCCTGCCCTGGCCGCGGGCCAGGGACAGGGGGTGGCACAGGGGACATTCCAGACACTCCTGGGGCCTCCCAGATAAGGCAGTTTGTTATCAGCAGCAGGAGAAATCGGCATCTCCAACCCTCTGTAAGGACTGAGAGCGATTCCCGAAGCCCCCGGAATGTCCTCACGTCTCTTTCTGAGCTCACATCTCCTTCCCTCCATCCATTCTCATTTCCAGCCTCCGGGGATGCACGCTGGGAGCTGGAAAAATCCCCCCCGTGAATGCCACCCCCGCACGGGCGAGATTTCGGTTCTATTTGTCACAATATGACAAATTCCAGGGAGGAAAATGAGTTTCTGAGTGATTGCTCCACGTCTTGCCTGCTGTTCCCAACAGGGCAGATCCTGAAATCCCAACTGGGGACCCACTGATGCCGTTTCCTGGAGCACAGGGATGTGACTAAGCCAAAGCAAGGGAAGGGAGCAGGGTTTGGCCATGGGAGAAGAAGGGATCAGGCTGGAATCTGCGATGGCTGAGGGTCTGGGAAGGGTCCCTGGGCAGGGCATTCCTCCATCCATGAAATCCAGGATGGGCAGGGATGGGGACTTACTCTGCCGACTTCCAGAAGTGCCCTGGGTGGGAAAGGCGGCGGTTGCGCTTTGGCAGTTTCTCCAGCATGTCCATGAGCTTGGTGAAGGTGGGTCTCTCCTCCTGCTCGTAGGCCCAGCAGAACAGGAGGATGTCCTGGAGCCGGAGGGAGAGCGCCTCAGGAAACCCGGCCAGGCGCTCTCCCAGCGGGAATTGAGCCGGTCCCGCTCCCACCACAGCCCTCACCCCCAGCAGCCACAAGGACCCCATTTCCATCCCCACATCCTTGGGAAGGGCTGGGATAGAGGAGATGTGTCCATGTCATGAGGATCCCATCTCCATCCTCACATCCTTGAGAAGGGCTGGGATGGAGGTGACGTATCCACCCCATGAGGAGCCATTTCCATCACTGGATTCTTGTTAAGGATTGGGATGGAGGGATGTGTCCATCCCATGAGATCCCATCTCCAGCACTGGATTCTTGGGAAGGATTGGGATGGAGGGATGTGTCCATCCCATGAGATCCCATCTCCAGCACTGGATTCTTGGGAAGGATTGGGATGGAGGGATGTGCCCAACCCATGAGGATCCCATTTGCATCCCCACATCCCCACAAAAGGCTGGGATGAAGAGCAGGATGTCCATCCCATGAGCACCCATCTGCATCCCCACATCCTTGGGAAGGGCTGGGATGGAAGGGATGTGTCCATCCCATGAGATCCCGTCTCCAGCCCCACATCCTTGGGAAGGGCTGGGATGGAAGGGATGTGTCCATCCCATGAGATCCCATTTCCATCCCCCCATCCTTGGGAAGGGCTGGAGCGAAGGGAACGTCCAAGCTGAGCACAGCAGCAGGACCAAGCCCGGCTGGATGAGACCGGCAGATCCAGAGGGTTTTTCCCAGGGCCCCAGCAGCCACACCCCACTCCATGCACACCCACGCAGGGCCCCACAGCACCTACCGAGATCTCCTTGCCCATCCCGATCTGGCTGAGGTTGGGCTTCATCCCTCTTCCCACCTGCCAGATTATTGCCTCCGCTGGCTGCGTCTTGAAGGGCCATTCCCGGGCGTGCAGCTCGTACCAGATGGTGCTGTGGGGGACACTGGGAATTAGAGACGGAGCAGCCGGCAGGGATTCGGGATGGAGAATCCAAACCACTCCCTGCCCCAGAACCACCTCATCCAGGAGCTGTTTCATCCCAGGTGACACCAGAGGTGCTCAGCCCTCCAGAGGTTCCAGAGATGTCACCTCTCCCATTTTCCTGAGGGAGGAGTTTGACTTGGAGTGAGCCCTGGTTCCCACCAGGGGAGATCCCAACGCGTGGGAAGGAGGACAGAGGCTGATGGAGGCCCGGGCAGAGCCCTCCTGGGAATGTCCCAGCTGGATGCAACAGCACTGCCTACGGAGCAGCTGAAGAGGGGATGGTGGGGATCCAGCTGCCACCGCTGCAGCGGAATTCTGGGAAGGGATGAGCCCATGAATTCACTTTCACTCCAGCTTTTCCCTTTTTCTCCTCCAAAAAGCTCTCCAAGCTCCAAAAATCCATCCAAGCCGTGCCATGAGCCATCCCAGGTGTCCTCACCAGGTGACGGCCACATGAAGCCCCGGCCATCTGCTCCTGCTGGCATGGCTAAGCCAAGCCCTCTTTTCCGTGAGGAATCCCAAATCCAAGGGAATATCCCAAAACATGGGCATCACCGATGGAACCGGTGGGCACCCCTGTGGTTTTCCGCCCCCGCTACTGCCTGCAAGTTTTGCATCATCATTTTCTGGCAGCCGGAACCTGGATGAGCCCGGATTCCCACATTGCCAGCCCCATTGTCCAAGGAAAATTCCCTGGACCTGCTTTTCCCTCCCAGGGATGCCTTCGTGACCACTTAAAGTAGCAAAGCCCAGGGTTAAAATGACATCAGGTTTTTCCAGAGTGGAAAAATCTGCTTGATAAATGGAAAATTCCTCCTGGTTAGGGAAGCTCCATGATTTGGGGAATTGGAATTCTTCTGATTTTGCACAGTTTGGCTGGAAATCCCCCCCAAAAATTGGATAATGGGAGAATTATGTGGGTGCAGAGGAATGGGGGGCTGGGAGAGGGGCAGGTGCTGTGGGCACAGGACAAATCCAGGAGGAGCATCCAAGCACCCTCAGATTGGATTTAATGCATCCAAGGCATCAATTCCAGTTTCTCACTGGGAGTTTTTGTCATCTTTCAAAGTTCTTTTCCTCTTGCTGATCATCAAATCCCTGGAGGGAAGGAACCCCTCTGGATCATTCCTGAGCCTCCCGGGCTCGATGGAGGGCAGCCGAAACAAGAAAGAGGGAGAATGTGGGGAAACCTTTTCATCTTTTTCAGGAAACTCACGCTTTCCATAAGGGCAGAGCTCACACTGGAGAAAAAAAAAGGGAAAATTCCGTCTCCCCTCCCACTCTCACTTAGTTGGATACGATCCTTTAATTACCTCTTTATTTCTGTGCTGAAGTTGTACCTCAGGGAGGGCAAAAATAAAAGAGCCAGACCCTTCCAGCTGTAATTACTGTGGGTTTGATGGGAGTATTGCCATGGATAACGGGCCCACGCTCCCTAATCCCACAGCCTTCGAGGTATCCATGAGAAAATTAATCCTCTGGGTAAAATCTGCGCCTGCCTCGGGAAGGGTTTAGCGAGGTGGGATTGGGCTCGTGCCCTCAGGGAGGTTTGTGGGCAGAAAAAGGGCAGGAGGAATGAACTGGTTTGCCAGGGAGAACTTAGAAATTCTCATTTTCTTGGCTTTTGGCAGCTCCTCATAGTGCTGGTACCACCATCAGCCCCCTGCAGTGGCTGGAGGGGGGAACTGGGGTGTCCAGGGGCTCCAAAGTCGTGTCCCCATCCATCATCTAAGCACCTTCTCATCCGCTCCCAGCCCAGGAGGCTGCAGGGGAGAGAGGATGCCAGGCTGGCATTCCCAGGATATTCTGGATCCCATTGCCTGGAGCCACCCTGATGCCCAAAATGGGAGGGTTTGATAATTTACAGAGAATTGGGGTGTCCAGGGCCCCCCAGAGCTGTGTCCCCAACCTTTGCCATCTCCATCCAGCAGCCAAGCACCTTCTCACTGGTACCTGCCCCAGGAGGGTGCAGCGGAGAGATGATGCCAGGCTGGCATCCTCAGGATACTCTGAATCCCATTGCACCACTCGGGTCCAGACCAGGAGGATTTGGTGATTTGGGGAGAATTGAGCTGTCCAGGGGCTCCCAGAGCTGTGTTCCCACCCCAGCCCCCTGTATCCCCAGGATGGCATCCTCAGGATACTCTGAATCCCGCTACGCAGAGCCAGCCTGTCTAAAACAGGAGGATTTGTTGATTTAAGGATGGTTTCACTCTAAATTTTTTCAAAGCAGGAAGGTTCATCCAGCCCAGCGATGGGAATTCCATCCAGCAGCATCCCCTTGGATTTGGGGCAAGCCAACAGCGTCCTCATCCCAGAGCAGCTCCCAGCTGAGCCAGCTCCCTGCTCCTGCCCCCTCCCGCTGCCCGGGGACTCACCCCAGTGCAAAGACATCCGAGTGCTTGGAGAAGGGCAGCTTGTCCTCCTCGGTGTCCGGAGAGAGCTGCCGGATGATCTCGGGAGCCAGGTGGCACAGCCAGCCGTTCTGGATCCGCAGCTTGTTCTCCCTCCTGCCGGGACACAGAGCCGTGGGTGCCCCGGGGCAGCACCACCACACCCCCGGGAGCAGCCCCCAGCTCCACACCCTCTTCCCAGGGATCTGAGCCTGGCTTTCCCCACGTCATCCATGCAAAGTCAGGTTTTAACCCTGCTGTAGAAATGCTGGCACGGCTGTCCCTGCCAGGCAGCGGGACAAAATCGGAGCACAGGATGGTGGTTCCTGCCGGGACACGGAGCCAGAGCCGTGGATCTCACTGGGGACAGCATCAGCACATCCCCAGGGAGCAGCCCCCAGCCTCCCATCCTCCTCCCAAGGTTTCTAGACCTGGTTTTCCCCACGTCATCCTTGCAAAGTCAGGTTTTAACCCTGCTCTGAGAAATGTCCCTGCCGGCCAGCAGGACAGAACTGGGGCACAGGATGGTGCTTTAGGAGAACTTTGGCACTTCCAGGCTGGTGATGGGGATTTAGGGTCTGCTGGGGCTCCTGCTGTGCCCTCTGCACCAAAACCCCTCAGAGGATGCAGGGGTAAAGTGGGGATGAATTCCCCCAGCGGCCCCACTGTGGTTGGAGCAGGAGGTTGGACCTGGGACCACAAAGTGCCCCATGTGAGCAAACCCATCCTAAAGTAACAGCCTGGGAATTGCTCTTTGGCCCCAAAACAGCCCCAAAAATGGCATTTCCCATGGGAACAGCCTGGCTTTGTAACAACCCCTCATTTCACCTCATCCTCTGTCCTTCCTCCACCTCCCCAGCCACCCCCTGCTCGGCATATACACGTTGGAATCCTTTGGCCAATGGCTGAGGATGACATTGGTGACTTCTCCATCCTTGGCATTCTCCAGCAGGCACCTGGGGTACTCTGCTGGCTTCAAAACCCCTGGATCATCAGCGCTGGTGACACCTGAAGCAGCTCCGTCGTGTGCCTGAGCCCAAACCCAGCAGCAGGAGGGAACAGAACCGTCCCACGTCACATTGGGCTGGAGAAGGAGGAGCCCGCTGGCTCCTGCCAGGAATTTCTCCCAAAGGTGGGGATGAACAGGGCTAAGGGATGGCTGTGGGGTCATCTCTCCTCCTGAATGTCAGCCCAGGGCCAAAATCCCATGGACAATCCAGGAGTGGGACTGTCCCACCTCAAAGCTGGCTCATAGTCCCAAAACGGCGCAATCCGGATCCTCCCGTCTGCAAATCCATCCCCACTCCCAAACCCAGCTCTGGCAGTGACCAGAGGGACCCCGTCCCTAGGGAAGGGCACTGCCACTCCCAGGAATCTCCGATGGAAGCTCCTTGTCCCCTCTGGGGTGCCCCTGGCTCCTCTCCACCGCAATCAGTGGCTCCAGCTACGCTCGCACCCTCCGGAGCCACGGGAAAAGCACTTCGGCACAGAAGGGAGGCTTTCAGCTGCCCAGCCACCTCCCTCCGCCCTCCAGCTCTTAATTACCAACCACCATTAAGCACCTGGGCAATTAAAAAGGCTGGAGCTCGCCTGTCCCTCCCGGGAAGCAGCGGGATGCGTTGGGCAGCTTGGATCTGCTCCAGCACCCTCAGCAAGGCCGGGGTTGCTCCTGGGGCTTTTGTTTCGGCTCGTGGAAGCGGCTCAGGGTCGTGACATTCCAAAAGCAGCCCCAGGATGCTCCAGGGACTGGATTGGGATGCACAGCTCATCCCTGGCAAAGCTTCTGTGGGTTATGGGCTCCCAGCAACGAGGGCTGGCCTTTAATGGGATCCCAAAGTGTCTCAGTTACAGCAATCGGAGGGTTTATAACCAAAATTTACCTGAATTCACAACCACACCCAGCTGAGCATCTCCCATGACACCCCCAGGGCAAAAGCAGGAGCAGAAGAGCTCAAGACTTCCTCAGACCCCTCAAGACCCACCTCGTGCTCCTCCTAATTCCAGAGCAGCCCCACCAAGCCCAAGAACATTTAAATAAAGGAGGAATAAATCTGATTTCAGCAGGATGAGGTCCCACGTCAGCAAATCTCTGCAGGAAGTGTTTTAACCCCAGCGAAACCAGCTGAAGAAATGCCACCATCCTTAACCTGACCTCTAAAAATTCAGTTCCTCCCGACAGAGGTTTTTCCAAGCCTCTGAGGACCCAAAATTGGAGTTTATCTCCTGTCTTCATCTGAGAGACACCAAAACCAGCCAAAAACCCACCCTGAAAAGGGGAGATGAAACCTGCAGACACTTCCTGTTCCAAAATTCATGGTGGGCTGTGGATCCCCACTCTTCTCTCAGCTCTCCTCCAGCAGAGAACTCTCCTCCAGCAGCCCAGGGCACAAATTTTCTCATTTTCTCCATATTTGCGGCAAAACCCTGCTCATTTCTATCCAGCCTTGCTTTCCTGGCCACTCTTCCTCTCCTGAGTCATCTCCTGGATTCCAGCCCCACAAGGGGCCTCCCAGTCCTGGGCAGAGGAAACCCCATTCCCCCCACTCCTCATTCCATCTCTGGAGCATCCCTGACCTTCACAGCCAAGATTCCTGGCAAAACTTGGGCAGTTTTGCCCAAATCCTCGTGTTCCCTGCTGGAATGAGCTGTCCCTTCCTCCTGGCAGGCCCTGAATCCCAAATCCCCCGCCCAGCTGGCGAACCAGAGGCAAAGCCCGCTTTGCCACAGCGGGAGATCCTCATTTCCTGGCCTTCCAAAGTTTTTGGCCAAGTTTGTGCTAAAATCCATTGATATTTATCCAGGCAGAGTGGAAAAGCCGGGAGTGCGAGGTGTGGGATGGAGAGAGGTGGCTGCTGCCATTTCCTCTAATCCTTTGAATTCATCACTGGGAAATTGGGAAAAAAAATCCATCATTTCCAAGAGGCTTTTTATCTCCTGAGCATCTTTGCCATGGAGATGGGAGGACCAGGAGAAAACTGCCCAAGCCTGGCCTGTGCTGCTCCCAAAACAAAGGATTTAGTGGGAAATGTGGGAAAAGTCAGCAATGTTCTTATTCCCCGCTTAAAAAAAAATGGAGAATATCAACTCTGTTCTTTCTTCCCCCCTTCTGTTTCCTTTTTCCACCCCAACTTTGCTTTTCCTCCTCTCCACAGCTGCTGGAACTCTTTTCCCTGCCATTCTTACAGCTGGGAAACCTCCCAGTGTGGCAGGAAAAGAAATTTAATAAGGAACATTTACCAAAACCTTCAGATTTAAACCCCCCAAGACCCCAAAATGTCACAACGTTGTGAAAGTCCCAAGCTTGGCTCTCATTTTCCGTGCCTTGCTCCGTGCCCAGCACAGACACCATGGCCAGATGTCTGTAATTCCCAAAATGTCACCGGAGTGGGGACAGGGATGGCATCACTCAGTCCAGGCAGGAGATGAAGCAGATGCCAGGGAATTATAACGATGGAAAGGGAAAAGCCAAGGAATGAACCAGCCCTGCTGCCACAGGAGCATCTCCTGGGTGACTGCAGGGTGGTTTGGCCATGGAAATGATGCATCCCATGGGAAAAGGTTGGTCCAAGAGGCACAATCTGCCTCTCTGAACCAAAATTCCAGAGGCTCACATGTGGCATTGCTACGGGTCAAAACCAACTCCCTTCAAACAGAGCAGCCCCACAACCCTCAAAGGCCTCTGGAACTCCTGTCTGCTGAGGCTGGTGACACAAAAATGCACTTGGAGAGGGATTTTTTGGGATCTTTCCCCACATTTGGGCATGGGGAGGAACTCATGGTTCCATGGGTCCATGTCCTCCTACCTGCCCGCTTGGAGAACTCCGGAGATGCTGAAGAGCCCGAAGTCGGTGATCACCACCTTCCCATTGTCATAGAAGACATTCTTGGACTTGAGGTCCTTGTGGAGGATCCCCTTGGCATGCAGGTATCCCATTCCCTGGGATGGAACAGAGAGAGGAAAATACCCCCAGGTCACAAAAGCGGCACAAATGGACGGGATAACGCCGGAGTGGTGGCATTCCCATGGGATGCCGCGAGCATCCGTGAGCCACCGCGGCACATCCCAGCTGGACCACGTCCCCAAAGGGCCCTGACAGAAGGGAAAGCGTCTGGAGGGGTCCCGTGGTTTGGGATGGGCTCCTGGAGGGAGATGGGATTATGGAGCGGGTGTCCCAGCTGCCACGGCGCCCACTCATCTTCCTGATTAATCGATTCCGCAGGAAAAATTAGCGCCAAACCCACCCGGCAGCCGCTGCTCTGGAATCCTCCTCTGGGAAATTGATGGTGATGATGTTTTTGCCTCCCTTTTTTTGGGGGGCTGGGAGAGGAGGGTAATAAGTCACCGCTCCCCATCGCCCCGGCGGAGCCATCGGCGCTTCCGACGGCCCCATCCGCCTGGAAACGGGCGCCTCGCAGGAGTCCTGCCTTAATTCCTTTCCCCCAGGAAAAACTGCTCGGTAGTTAATTAAAATTAGTGCTAATGAGGCACAAAAAGGCCATGGGTGGGAAATCCAAACTCTCCTGTTTAGCGTCGGCAAATCAAGCAGACTGCTGGCAGCTCCGTGTGGCGGATGTTCAGCTCCGCGGGATAATTCTGGGAATGGGGAGGGGGATAAAACACATTTATCCCAACTTCAGCAGGGATTTTGATGCTGTCCCACTTTTCACTCTCCTAAGCAGACTCAGGGAAAACTTGATCTGCAGGATGCTGCTGAAGGATCAATGCACAACAGGCCGGCAAACTGTTGCTTAAGAGGGAATATTGGTTGTCTGTCACCGGAAAAGGGGAATTTATTAACTGGAATTCCATGGGGATCCATCCATTCTGAGTCTCATCTTTTCATCTATCATCATTAACCACGCAGGCTGTGCGAGAATTTATTTTTAAGCTGGCGGCTGATGTGGAGCCAGAAGCCCAATCCAAATTCCACCATCTGGAAAAAGTGGGAAAACAAATGGAAAACCACCCCAACCCAGCAAGATGTGGGGGTTTCACTGCACCCCGTGGGGAGCAAATCCTACAGAGCCTCTGCCAAGGGATGCTGGAGGAAGGAAAGGATTTGGGGCTGGATGCCAGGACCATTCCAGGCACCGGGATTAATTAGGGGTCTCCAGCTCCCAGCACATGAAATAATGATGAGGTTTAAAAGTCGGCTTTCAAATGTCACTGTCACCCCCAGGAAGTGCCAGGGTGGAGCAAGGAAAACCATTCCAGTGTTTCCCTGCCCAGGTGCAGTGCAGGGCCCTGAGCACCCATGGATGAGCCCCGGTGCCACGGGAACACTCCGCAGCCGCTTCCCGTTGTTTGAGGGTGGAGGAATTCCAGAGCAACATCAAGACCTTGCTCCCACCTGCTCCCACATCCAGTGGGGAGCTCATGTCCATGGAATCATCAAACACAGCCCCGCCCTTACAGAAGGAATTTTTCCAGGCAAACCCAAATCCCTCACCTCGCTCTGTGCAGATCCCACTGCAAATTCCAGCCCTGGCACCTCGGCCCCTGGGATGATCCGTGAGGAAACACTCAGGGCCAAGTAATGCCTTAATTTGCTGGGCTGTGTGAAAAGCCAGCTCCCTCTGCTGGCACCGCTCCAGGGAGAAATCATCCTTCCCCTCCCGAGGGTCCTGGGATAACCTTGCACCCACTGGCCCAAGGAGCTGAGCAGCTCTCCCGTCACATTCCAGGACTCAAAGGACAAAATCCAGCAACTGCTGTGACTGCCCAGCAAATCCAAGGATTTCCGGACGGTGCAGCTCCAAGCCCACCCAAACCAAGGTGCTGGGATTTTCCTTCTCTTCCCAACACCCACCAGTTCCAAGTCGTGTGGAACATCTGCTGGAGATTGGTGGGGAAAGATGGGAAGGCTGGGAATGGGCCACGTGGTTGGGCATTGTGGCAGAGCTGGACTTCTCCAGGAATTCCCTTTGGTGCTCCCTTTGGAGCTCTGATAATTCCTCCAGGGATTTGGGGTGGATACAAAGTCCCTCTGCCTCTCACCACCACAGAGCTGGAGGTTTCCAACCTGTTCCCAACAGGCACCAGCTGCAGAAAACAAGGATCTCAGCCTGATCCTCGAAACCCACACGGAGCCATGACCCCACGCAGGGAAAGGGGCTGAACGGAGCCGCTCTTCCCGCTGGGAACATCTGGAAGGCAAAAGCCCTGAGCACAAAAAGGAGGAAAAATACAAGGCTAAACTGTGATGCTTCAAGTGTTTGCTCAGCGGGAAAAATACGTGTCTGAAAGGTGGAAAACATGGATCAGAAGTAGGAATTAAGAAGGGAGAGGCTCTGGGCTGCCTCAGGCACCCCCAGCTCAGGCCGTGGCTCTGAGGTAGCTGAAGGTTCAGGCTGTGCTCACCTGTCAGCTCCTGCCTGGAAATCCCAGGAGAATTGAAGGAATTTAAAGTTTAAAGTTAAAACTGGGTCTAAAAAACCACAAAATAGGCAATTTAGTAAGATACAGCCTAAGCACCATCCAGGGAAAAGGCACCGACCAGGAAATATTGCTGAACATATTCTGCTTTTAACCTGGGTTTGAATATTTAAGGGGGGCTAAGATCTGCCAGCAAACCTGATTTTCTGTTGTTTTCCCACAGTTAGGTGTGGGATCAGCTCCAGGTTTGGCTCCGGGGTGGAAGTGTTGGCTGACCTTGAGCAGGGAACAGGGGCAGTGTCACAGCTCCCATGGCAGAGCACGTGCCAAATATTTTTGGTGATAAATGTGTTTGGAATCACAGCAGAACCCCGTTCTGACAGACAGCTCAACACCTCAGCGCTGCTGCTGACATCCCATGGCAAAGCTGTGAGGGCTCAGGACCCAAATTCCCAGCCATTCCACCCTGCCACGGGAGGATCCTCCCCGGGATTATTTACAGGGACACGCCTGAAGTGTGGGAGATGCACTTGGAGTCATCCCTGGGAAAGGAAAAGCATTTTTAGCTCTGGAAATGTAGGTGAGACCCTCCTTGTGGCACCACAGCATGGATTTCTCCAGGTCCTGGGAATGCTTTATGGGAATATGGGGAATGCTGGAAGTGTCCAAGGCCAGGTTGGAGGGGGCTTGGAGCAAACTGGGATAAACTGAGAGAGTGGAAGGTGTCCCTGTCCATGGCAGGGGGTGGAATGGGATGAGCTTTAAGGTCCCTTCCAACTCAAACCATTCTTGAACTCCATGATTATGACATTTTTTTTCCAAGAGGAGAGCAATATCCCACCAGGAACTCCCTCACAGCAGCAATGCTGGATTTAAAAACCTGAAATTCCAGCAGGGAAGAGGAGCAGCAGCCAGGATAATCCCCAAGCATGGGGATCCTATGGAATCTTTGGTGCCACCCCAGTTTAGCCACATGAGAGAGGCCAAAGAGACCTGGATTTAAAACCAAGGAGTTCTATCCTGCTCAGAACCCTTGGATTTTAAAAGGAAGGAATTCTATCCTGCCCAGAATCCTTGGATTTTAAAACCAAGGAATTCTATCCTACCCAGAATCCTTGGATTTTAAAGCCAAGCAGAGCTATCCTGCTCAGAACCCTTGGATTTTAAAACCAAGGAATTCTATCCTGCCCAGAATCCTTGCATTTTAAAGCCAAGCAGAGCTATCCTGCTCAGAATCCTTGGATTTTAAAACCAAGGAGTTCTATCCTGGATCCAGACCCCACCAGAGCGTACCTTCACAATTTCTTGTGCTATCTGCCTCGTCTTGTTGACGTCCAGGACAATTTTGGCGTCCCTCACCACGGAGTAGAGAGTCCGTCCTTTACACAGGCTGGAAGAACAGGAAAAGGGAAAGAGAAGTTACCAACCCTCCTGGGGAAACAGCCCCAGATTCTAAAGCAGGGAACCGTAAATCATCACGGGATTTTGGCCAGATTTTGGCCTCTCGGCTCGAGGCAGATTGAAGATTCCACAGGGAATTGGGGGTTCTCCCAGTCTGGCACTGGGAGGGAGCTCCCACTGCTCCTGGCGTGTCCTGGTGGCACCACCCCGGTGACACAAGGGACAACTTGGGCTGGCTCCTGGCTTTTCCCTGTATCCCAGCCTGGAGCAAAGCACCTGGCCCTCCTGCTTCCAGGTTTTTGTGCAGAACTGGCCGTGGCTCCCTCCTCCTCCTCCTCCTCCTCCTCCCTCGGGATACAAAGCTCACAGATGTAAAATGAGTCAAAAGAGGAAAGACAGGGAGGGGAAAAAAAATCCCCCAACCCAACCCCATGCACTCCACAATGTCCTCCAATTTTCCTTCTCGTACCAATTACAGTAAAATCTATTTACAGAGCCTTAATTACCAAAGGCAGCTGGATTGGGGGGGAGGGGGGATGGATATAAACCAATTAAAAATATATTGACATTTGAATATCATAATGGAGGACGTGGGTGGCTGCTGCCTCGACTCCCGCCCACAAAAAAAGAGCTTTTTTTTTTTTGCTTTTCTCTATCCACCCACGCTCATTCCAGGCAACTTTGGAAAGATGAGACTGGATACCTGTGCCTGGGAAATAAAACACCCAACACACAGCTTGTTAAGGAGGTTTGGTGGCTGCAGATGTTGATTTGATTCTGTTCTGGTTAACACATTAAAAGTTCCGGGGTTTCATTCCGCTGCTGTCCCCTCGCCCAGTTCTCCTGCCCTGGGAATTCCAGCACACACTGGTTTGGATTCATCCCCTGGGAGAGGTTTTGTCCTTTTTGGGTGAAAATCATCACAGAATCACAAAAGAGAATCACAGAATGGTTTGGGTTGGAAGGGACTTTAAGGACCGTCTAATTCCAGCCCTCTGCCATGGGCAGGAACACCTTGGATGAGGCTTGGAGCAGCCTGGCACAGTGGGAGGTGTCCCTGCCATGGCAGGGGGTGGAATGGGATGGGCTTTAAGGTCCCTTCCCACCCAAACCATTCCATGAGCCCATGAAAGCCAGAAGAACTCCAGACTCCAGAAGCTCACGAATACAAAGGATCCTCCTGCTCCTAAGCCAGAAGCTCCACATCGCTCCATGGGCAGAGAGCAGGATTTTCAGGACGAGCAGTGAAACAGGAACGGGATCAATCCCACATCCCACGGGTCTAGGAAAGACAACAGCGCCCTTCCAAATATTTCCTCACTGGGAGCGTTAGGAATTGTCCTGCTGGACACAAGTGAGCCACAGTTGGGATTTAGGGCAGCAATGCCTCCTCAGGGATGGTTTTCCTTGCTCATCCCTGAGCATCCCAGCTGGATTTAGCCCCGAGGCAGCTGCGATACGAACACGCTCCCTCTGGAGCATCTCCTGCAACACTTCAGTTGCAGTCAAATCAGAATTTGCTGGAGATTAGGATCTGAGCACTTGGAAATTGGTGATAAAATCCTTGTGTTTCCGTGCCTGGAATGAATCAGTGTGTGGAATAACGACGGACATGAACTGTCCTTCCACCACCTGTATTTTTCCACGCTAATTTGCCACATAAACCCAGCAAGCTTTAAGCTCTGCCACAGAACAGCCTTTTGCCACCTCCATGACCTGCCTGCACACACAAGAGTTCCCCCAGCCCTTCCCAACCCCCGGAAAACACGTTTTCTCCCAGAGAAAACCATTTGACAGCCAGTTGCCTGTGATCTGAATCGGTCACAAATTGACACTGGAAATTCTGTGAGTGGATTAGGGCTGGAACAGGGCTGGATTCCAGCCCTAAAGCGAATTAAGTTCAGCTGTTTTCTTAGGAAAGGGTTGTTTAGAGGAATATCCTCACATTTCTGCCTCTCTGAATTGCTGAGATAACCCCAAGAGCAGAGCTCGCAGCCCTTTGCTGGTGAGATTCCCATCTTTCCACTTCATTTACAGGATTTCCAAATCCTTCCCAGCGGATGGAGGCGGTGCAGGAGAACAGCCAGACCTGGGGTGGTGGCACCAGGACATGTCCCTGTCACCTCTGCTCCCCAGACCCTGGCAGAGCTATCAAAGCAGCCCAGGTGCTCCTCCCCTCCCCTCGCTGAATAACAGCTCCGAATGAATTCACCGAGCGCCCGCCGCACCGGCACATCCGACTTTTCTTGCTGGATAAGAAGCTGCCAACGCGGAGATAAAGCCTGGTTGATACCTTTTGTGCAGCACCTGAGCCCATTCAGCCACCACCTGCAGAACCTTTTCATGGCACAGCTCAACCATTCCGCTTCTCCTCGCTCCTCAATCGCTCCTCATTCGGGCAGGACAAAGAGCGGCGCCCAGGGCACGCTCCGAGTCTCCTGCCTTTCCACTTGGAGAGGTCCCCGCTGAGCGTGGCTTTGAGGGACACGGATGTGGGTGACAAGGCCACAAAATGCCTGTGCTCGACGTCAAAAACAAGGCAGATAATTTGCATCTTCAGATGGATCCTGGGTTATTCAGCGCTGAGGTGAAAATTCGTAAGGAATTCTTGTCTTCTTCTCCCAAACTTCTCCGTGCCACCTGGCAGCAGAGCGGGTTGATGACACGTGCCCCGGTGCCACGAGGTGACCCAACGCCATCCAGAGCCGAGGGGTGGCTGGGACAGATGCAGAGATCCTTCTGGGAGTCCTCAGGAGTGCGCCTCATCCCATGGCACATCTGCATTCCGGTGCCTTTCCCGGCATCAGGACAGGCCTGGCCCCATCCTGCTGCAGATGCCACTCTCAATTCAAAATGAGTTTTTGAAGTGTTCAGCCAAGCAAGCCAAATCCCAAATTGCTTTATAAACACTGCATTCCCAACGTGGGCTGGAGACATCGGCAGTGGGAGCAGAGCCAAGGCGGCTCGCAGAGGAACAATTTGGGATGAGGGAGGAAGAGCTGGAGCGCTGCCTCTGGGAGTTTTTGCTGTTCCATGGGAAAACAGCCTCATCCGTCTTCCATCCTTCGGGGGTTTTTACCCCTCTCTGCAGTACTGATGGTCATCAGCTCTGCACTGGTGGCCAACACCTCCACCCTGATGGTCACTGTCTGTGCATTGATGGCCCTTGCTCCTAAACTGGTGGCAAACACTTCTACCTTGATGGCCACACCTGTACCTTGATGGCCACCACCTCTGTCCTGGTGACCATCACCTCTAAAGTGATGGTCATTGTCTGTGCATTGATGGCCATTGCTCCTACACTGGTGGCCAACACCTCTACATGGACAGCCACCACCTCCAATGGCCATCTACCTTGATGGCCACCACCTCTGCAGTAATGGTCATCAAGTCTACACTGATGGTCATTGTCTCTACACTGGTGGCCAACACCTCTACATGGACAGCCACCACCGCCAATGGCCAATGGCCATCTACCTTGACGGCCAGCACCTCTATACTGGTGGTCATCAAGTCTACACTGATGGTCATTGTCTTTACACTGGTGGCCATCACCTCTACCTTGACGGCCACATCGTTACCTTGATGGCCACCATCTCTGGACTGGTGACCATCGCCTCTACACTGATGGTCATTGTCTCTACTGATGGCCACCACCTCTACATTGATGACCACCACCTCTATACTGGTGGCCACCATGCTACCTTCATGGCCAGCACTGATGGAGATTCCATCCTGACTGCCGCTCAGGAGCAGGGATCGTTAGCCGAGCCAACGGCCTGGCAGTAGCAGGGTGGATTCCATCACTCCAGGAGCTTTGTGCTTCCCTTCCCTCTTCCCATCCACACAAACGCCCGTTCAATTAAAGAGGTGATAAATGCCAGACCCCGGGAAGTTCATTCCTTGCTGGGATATGGATTTATAGGGAAGCAGCTCGGATACCATGGAGACAGTCAGCACTACAGACCCAGGGGAGACACTGGAGAAGAGAGCGAGGTGGGGAATTAATAAAAAATGCTTTAATATAAAAATACCTCTGCTCCCAGGTTACATCTGTGCTGGAGGAAAGACACGGCAAAGGATGCTTGGATGCTCCCACATTTCCCAGCAGTTTACCCACTTTGAGATTTTCATGGAAAAAGGGACCTTTGGGGAATGTTAAGAAAGAAACAGCAACAGGAACCACTGAGCCGGGACTTATTTGATTTCATTTGAGCAGGACCAGAGAGGGAAAGAAGGAGCTCTGCACATTCCGGCACATTCCTGACTTATTTTGGAAGTTTTCCAGCTGTTCCCATATATTGGGAAAAAGCGAAAAACAAGCCAATATTGGCAATGGTGTTTTTGGAATTCAACAGCTCCTGAGGTGTTTCAAAGAAAGGAAAATTGAACGAGGCTGGAAGAGCAGCAAAGGGAGAGCTTTGGGTTCATTTTTATCCCAAGGTTTTATTTTCCTCTACATGGATAAGGAATTTCGCCCCCTTGATTTCCTGCCAATGCCAGAGCGAACAGTGGCAGCATCCAGCCTGAAATTCCTCTACATCCAAACGCTATGACCAGGGAGGAAAAACTAGGATCTGAGGGAAAATTTATTCACTGAAAGGGTTGACAAGCCCTGGAACATCCCTGGAGGATTTAAGAGAGGATGTGGCACTTGGGGAAGTGGATCAGTGGTGGCCTTGGCAGTGCTGAGGTTTGGGAATTGACGATCTTAAGGATCTTTTCCAATCAAAACAACTCTGTGGTTCTATGGGAGCAGCAGCCAAAACTCTGTGCCAAAAAAGGGCTGAGCACCAGCATCCAGCAGATCCCAGCCTCTCCAGGCTGGAAACACTCATCCCACCCAACCCCATTCCAAATGAACCCAAAGCAACCCCAAAGGGAAGCCAGGGAATTCAATTCCTGCCATTTCAAGCAGAGCCCATATCCCCAGCCCGGAGATGGGAGAGACCCTCCTGCTCCTCACGGAGGAGCCTCTGCAGAGCCAAA